CAATCATTCTAATTAACTTAGGTTCATTTGGAAGATGACCCGGGGGAACATGAAGTGTCTGGTACATGGAAACTGTTACCTATGATGATTAGTTTGGACCAGGGGTCCTTCAAGTGTTCTCTGTGAAGTATTCTGACCTCACAGACTGCCTGAAAAGTGGGGTCCACTCCAAGTGCAAGAGAGGAACCAATGGATTCTAATGTAACTTCCTGTGAAAAGTTTGTTGATACAAATCTGAAAAGGCTACACACTGTATGATTCTGACTATATAACATTATGGAAAAGGAAAAACTATGGAGATAGTGAAAAGATCAATTGTTGCCAAGGGTCGGGGTGGGGGAAGGAGAAAAGAGTGAATAGTGGAGCACAGGGGGGTTTGGGGGCAGCGAAGACTTAATTACCCCCCACTCCCCGCCAAAAAGACTATAGAATGTACAAAACCAAGAGTGCACCCTAATGTAAACTATGGTCATGATTTAGTTAATAACGTATCAGTATTGGCTGATCAAAGACACCAGACCCCTCCTCTAGGACAAGATGCTAATAATAAGGGAATCAGGAGAGGGTGGTATGGGGAACTCTATACTTTACACTCAATTTTTCTGTAAACCTGAAACTGCTTTTAAAAAGTCTTTTTTCAAACATTCATCGATACAATTTCCAATTCCACATTGCAATGAAGTAACTACCACTTGTTGAATTTTGGCGTGGTATCAAAGAAAAATATCCACAATTATCTGAAAGGCGTTGATAAAATACCCCTCTCTTTTCTAACTATCTGTATGAGGCTGGGTGTTTTTCACGTTTGCCACCCAACCATTATCTCATACAAGATGGACTGCAGAAACAGATGTGAGAATCCAGCTGCCTTCTCCTAAGCCAGACACGAAGGAGATTTGCAAAAATGCAAAACAATGCCACTCTTCTCACTAAACGTTTTGGTTTTGGAAAAGACAGTTATTTCTCATAAAAATTATGTTAATGGGGGATGGGCTCCTTATTTTTATTTTCAAATGAGTTAGTAAATATTTTGATTTTTTTCTTTAGCTTTAATTTCCAGAAGGGCAACTACCACTAGATGTAACCTATGCAAACAAATGTTTCTGGGGGCTCCCAGTGATTTTTAAGAGGGTACAAGTGACTTGAGACCAAAATGTTTGAGAATCACTGTTTGGGGACAAAGCCAGCCCAGGAGATTGGCCCTCTGTCTCTTGTCCTTTGCAACAGTTTCCAGAGCCTTCTCCAAGCTGGCTGTGCCTTTCTGCCTGGCCTCAGTCGACCCCACCCATGGCTGCCCAGGGATGTCCCTGACCTTGCTAATGTCAGGGTGTGGGTGTGGAGGAGGAATAAACATGGAGAACTTGAAGCTCAGTCTTGGCCCTCGGCAGCCCCGCTCTGTGGGGCTGTGAGCGTGGAAAAGACTGGAGGGGCATTGGTTGTATCAGAGGGCCCCTCAGTCCCAGGCCCTTACCGACCAACCCTCAGCTCAGCCGGGGAGGCGCCTCACCAGGAACTTGGCTGTCTGGTCGTTCTTGGCGTACCTGTAGAGCCTGCGAAGCTGCTTTGCCTCCAGTTCTGAGAAGAGGGAGACAAATCGCCAGAGCATCCTGCAGGGGAGAAGTGCAGGGCTGAGGGGAGCGGAGCATAGCCCCTCTTCCTCCAGCATCTGTTATGTGGCCAGGACTACCCAGGGAGAAACAGGACACAGGCTGCCCCCTTGGTTTGTGGTTGGGGGCAGGGAGGCGGGTATTTGCCAGACCTTGAATCCTCTGTTCTGGTAATGAGACCCCACACCACCCAGCAGTTGTTCAATCAGAGGTCATTCCTCCCAGGGTCAGGAGAGTTCTTTGTCTACAGTGTGTACAGCGATGGTGAATCAATGCTGCCCTGAGTCACTAGAGGACACCGTTCTTTCCATCCTCCCGTCACCAGGCTCACTCTAGGATCCTGGCTCTTTCATATAAAGATAAGGGACTAAGGGCTCTTTGCTAAGCCCTTAGAGGGGGTGTGACCTGGAATTTAGAGGGGGTGGCCCAGGAGGAGGTGTAGTGGAAGGGCAAGGAGGCTGCCCTACTTTCTCCAGTGCTTGATTTCCCAGTCTTGGCAGTGGTGCTGCAGAAAGGTGTTGATGTGGTCCCCTAAGACCACCAGGCTCTGCTTCGTGTACTTTAGCTTCTTCTTCAGGGGAAGGTCCCTGGGCAGGTGCAACTTTCGCAGGAACTTCTTCAGTGGCCTTAGGCATTCTTTACACTGAGGAGGCAACAGGTGAAGTGAAGGGTGATAGGAGAAAAGAAGAGGCAGACGGGCGGCCCCAAATAACCAGCGGGTTGGCCCAGCTACAGCCGTTATGGCCCAGGAAGGGTTACACGTGCTAAGCGAGGAGGCCCCATGACCCCTTATCCCCACTTCCTTCCTAAGAGTGTGTCCAGTGGGGCAGTGAACTCTGGGTTTGAGGCCTGTCAATTTCTGACTCAGGTCTCTTGACCTGTGGGGGAACAGGGGACAGGGTCCTGCGCTGGCCCCTAACTCACAATTTTGAAGGTGTCCTGGCTCAGGCCCTTGGCTTGGCGCACAAGCGAGTCTCTAGCAAGGCTGGTGCAGGATCTTCCCTCTATGCGGGGTCCATCTGTCACCTGGGAGGAGGCAGGAGCAGGAATCAGCGGGGGCGGGGCGTGGGCAGGGCGTGGGCTCCTGCTCCCGAGCGGCAGTGCTGGGCAACGACTGGCCCCGGTGCCAGCCAAAGCCTTTCTCCATTGTCCCAGTGACCTCCTCCTTGACCCAGCAGTCAGGTGAGCGGGCCCTGGGCAAAGAAACCCATCTTGGAGAATTCCTGCTTGGGAAACCTAGAATGTCTTACACATTTCTTTTATAATATATAACCCAGTATACTAGTGAACTTGGCAAAGCACTTGATAAACATGAACTCATTTTATTCTCCCAGATTCTGTGAGGTTAGATATCCTGATCTCCGGTTACAAATGAGAACACAGAGACACCAAGGGGTTTTTGAGTAACTCCCTGGGGAATGAGCAGGGATTCACTGACTTCATTCATTTGGCAAATCCTAATCAATTGCCTGAGTCCCGGCACCAGCACTTTGTATCTCTAACCTGTAGCATCACGCCATGCTAGTGGGCACTCCAGAAAATGTGTGACGCCAATGGTGATGAGAAGGAACTTTCTGACAGCAAGCTGGGGCCAAAAAAGCTGAAAATTAATGAGGGCAAAATGCCTGTGGAATAACGTGAAGTCAGAGCACAGGATTAGGTTGATGCAAGATTTACATCTGACCTTTCAAAAGCCTCTCAGAAAGGTGAGCGGTAATTCTTCCCTGTGTTCCTTGGAAACAAGGAAGATCCAGACCCAGGACCCTCTGAAGGGAGGGGCCAGGGAAGGGGAGGGAGGAAGACGGAGAGAACATAGGACACAGGCTCCTGCGGACCCCAGAGAGAAGGGACTCTGGCTGATCATCTCCATACACACCACACACACACACACACACACACGCGTGAGAGCCTGTGTGTCTTCATAACCACCAATCATCTTGCCAGGTATCTATGTCCTTGATAAACATCTGTTTGAACGAATTAACCTTTTCTGGTTCTTTCGGTCTCCTGCTACCTCATGTACTTCACTATTTTTCCTTCTCTTCTTCCTTGAATTTCAAATTCTCTGCTTTCCAAAGCCAGCCTCTCAAGGGCCTTCTACCCCTCCCTCCCTCCCCTCTCCCACCCCACTTAACCTTCTCTAGTGGCTTGTCCCCTTCACCCTCTTGCCCATCGGAGGCCTCCATATCAGCCGGCGCACTGATGGGCTCCAGAGGGGCGCTCCTTACGTCCCCTCGGGCTTCTGACCTCGGGCTCTGTGACCTGAGTGTGTCTGGGAGTGGGCAGGTTGGCTCCAGAACTTGGAGCAAAACCATGGCAACGGCCGACAAAGCGCCCCGCGCCCCTCCCTCTCCCCTGTCCTCGTGCCTAGGGGTGACCAGCAGCCTCTCCTTCAACCGGGACTGGACTAGGGAAGTGAGCAATTCGTGTCAGGTAGACCCAGAACTTGGTCAGAGCTCACAGCTGGCCCGGAGGGGCTGGCACCCACTTCTCCCGAGAGAGAACTGTCAGATGCTGTTGATTTTGAACCTTGATAAGGTATTTGAAGTACATTTCCTGCGTGTGTATCATTCATGCCCCCTCGGTTACAGCGTGCGCTCCCCGAGTGTGAGGACCAGGGTTTGAAACATTCCTTTCCGGACTGGGGACAGTGGACTAGAGGGTGCACCGAGAGGACAGAACCAGTAACTCTCTAAGAGCTCTTCTCTTCCACCCCCCGTAGGAAGTTAAGGAGCCAGTTGCGTTGGATGATGCTTGGGCGGTGGTGGTGTTTTTAGGGGATGTACGAAATACTAGCTACCGTGTATTATCTCAACTGACCCTCACAACAGTCTTCCCCAGGGTAGGTACCAGCAGTGATCCCATTTCATAGACCAGCCGAGATGCAAGAGGTCCGGTAACTTGCCTTCGGTCCGCGGCCAGAAAGTGGGGCGCGGGGCTCTGGGTCGGATTCCGACCGCCCTGGCTTTTCCCTCCCGTGCCGCCCCCCGGGGGTCCGAGGTGGAGGCGGCCGGCGGGGTCCGGCGTCTCCCCGCTCCGCTTGGCCTGGAGCCTCGGAGGCTCTCGAGGGCGCGTGTCCACGCCGCCCTCGCCCCTAACGCGGCCCCGACGCGGTCACGGCGGAGGTAAGACTGGTGCAGCCCTGGTTTCC